CGGGGGGCGGGGGAGCAGCCTCCTGCTGCCGTGGGGGCAGTAGCCCCGGGGTGGGGGGAGGAGGGTCTGCAGCCTCCCCACGCAGGGACCCCCAGCCATGGGGCTGCAGTGCTGTGGGCCCTGGCGAGGGGCAGCCCGTGGGGGAGACCCGGGCTGGGTTTGAGGGACAGGGACAGTCTCAGCTGGGCTGACCGAGGAAGGCTCTGGAAGCGTGTGAACGTGCATGTGAGCGTGCATATAAGTGTGCACGGAGCAGCGTCGCTCTTCCCACGGCCGCACCGTCATGCGCGCCGACAGGAGCGAGGGTTTGGCATGGCAACGGCTGGGGAACGCTGGAGCGGGGCGGTGGGCAGCCGGGCGGCATCCAAACCCTGCGGCAGCACCCAAACCCCTCGCTACTGGCCCACGGGCTGTGGTCAGCAGCCGCCACCCTGGAGGCAGCCAGGGCACTCTGCTCTGTCCTCTCCATAGCCCCGCTCTCTCCAGGCTCAGCTTTGGATTTGCTTCCATTCTTCTCTCCTCCAGGCTCGGGAAGGTAAGCGGGCAGCCGGGCTGGTTTCGGGGTCCTGGGAGCAAAATCCATGTGGACTTCATGGAGGCAGCGGAGGGGCACGAGGGGCCAGCTCGCTCCTCACATGGTGGCTGCTGACAGGGTTGAGCCAGGCTGGCCGGTTGCAAGGCTCTGCCGAGCCTTCAAGGGACTGTGCCAGCCCTGTCCCCAAAGGGTTGGTAGCGGAAGATGTCACGTTAATAAATATAGTGGGTGCTAGCGGTGAGGTGCTGGGCTAGAGCGGTGGCATCAATCAGCTGTGCCCTCACGGCAAAGGAGCCTCCCATTGGCACAGGGGCACAGAATCACTGCTGCCCCTCGTCACCCCTTGGTGCTGTGCCCCACTGCCAGCGTGTGCCCGTCCTGCCTGCCCTCACCCGGGCTGTGCCAGGGAGGCTCAAACCCTGGAAACCTGTTCTCTATTTAAATAAGATAACATATATTAAAACTGCCAAATCTTGGCGAGCTGACAGCGTCTGTCTAAATATTTATCCCAGCTCCGATCAGGCGCTGTGTTCTCATGACAGCGTGATTAGCACTTTGCATATTTGTGGCCTTTCTGGGTGCTGGGCCCCCCGTGTCTGCCTGCCCCGCGCCTGGCGGCCGTGGAGCTCCCCTCTCTTCCCGTACACCCGGCAGAGGTGAGTCCCGGGCTGGCAGCTGTCCCCAGCCTGGCACATCCCTACTGGGCTCTGCTGAAGCCGCCAGGAGCGTTCAGGTCTGGGAAACACAGCGTGGACAGGCAGGGGAGGGAGCGGGTGCTGCGTTTGTCCCCTACAGCACAGGAGGTGCAGTGCCAAGCACGAGGCGTGTTTTTCGTGCAGGGACATGAGCGCAAGGGACAGCAAGGGCACAACCTGCCCCAAAACCAGGCTTCTGCTCTGCCTCCTGTGCACGACCACTGGGGGACTGGGTACCCATGTGTACCAGGCGATGGGGATGGAGCAGGGATGCTCCAGCTCCCTCCCGCACAGTGCTGCCCAGCCCTGCAATGTGTCCTTGCCGGAGCCTCTTGCTTCTGGGGACAGCACGTCCCGTGCTGGCACTGCAGGACGTGCCAGGGGTCCTGACCGTCATGCCCGCCCTGTGCCCCGTGGCAGCGTGCGGGAGGAGCGTGTCGGGAGGGATTAGGGCTGTGTCTAGAAAAAGGGCTAATTCAGAGCCGGAGGCGCGGGGCGGCTCAGCGCGGCTCTCCCCTGGTGCCACTGCTCTGGCAACACAAACAAAACCCTCGCGATCAGCTGAGCGGCTTGTGCACCGGCAGTAGCCAAAATCTGCTTTTCAGTTCCCAAATCTGGCGACGCTGAATTTAACCCTAAACTTCAGTTTGTTTGGGTGGCAACTCACCAAAAGGGCTGGTGGCAGCTGCCCCGGTGCTCGCAGTAGCTGCCAGGCTGGAGGGCTGCCCGGGGGGTGTTGATGGGCTGCCCCATCCCTGTCTTCCCACACACACCAGAATTGGCAAAAAGGGAGAAAAAAAGGGCAGAAATTATGCTAGTGCTTCTTGCGTGAGACTTCCAGGAGGATTTGTGCTGCCTCCTGCCTGTTGTGCCGCGGAGACCGTGGGAGATGTGCTGCCCACAGCAGGGTGGCTCTGGGCTCCTGGGGTGGGAGCTGGCATCACCGCTGGTCCCTTGTCACCTGGGAGCCGTGCTGTGGGCGAGGAAGAACCCCAAGGGGGCTGCAGGAGCAGGGGACACAGGGTGTGCTTGGCGTTCCCCCTCTGCGGTGCTTTCCCAGGGGGTTGTGTTGGGGCTGTGGAGGTCAGTGGCTCCCCGGGGCTCACGGAAGCGGTGCCCCCGGTCACGGCAGCACCCCTGGTGCTGTTGCTCAACGGGGTCTGGCCCGGCCGAGCATCTCCTGCTGCAGCCATGGGTGCGGGTCTCGGTGTCAGGGCTGGTCCTGGGCCAGTGGGTACAAATCTGCACAGTCTCTTGAGCTGTGACCATGGGGGGGACTGGGGAAGGGGCTCCTGCTGCCTCCTGCCCTGCGGAGACTGCCTTTGGTTTGGGCTCACTTTCACCTGGTAGATCCCCATCTCAGGGATTCTCAAAATTGATTTAGGAAAAAAAAAAAAAAAAAAAAAGATTTTGTATTGATTTTGTATTAATTTTATTAATCTTAATGGTGACAGCTGCACCGTGCCCGTCCCGCGATGCCACCGCACCCAGCCGCCCTGTGACACAGCCCTCCTCTCCAGAGGTGACACGGCAGCTCGAGGGGATCCCCCTGGGGGGACCTGCCCTGCAGCCACCGTCTTGTTTGCTCGTGCGCTGGCAGAGCCCGAGGAGGCTGCGCCCTTGCAGGCAGAGGCAAAGGCAGG